TTTCGTCAATGCACACCTACAAGAGATTCTGCATCTCGTGGCTCCATTATGTGTCTCGCGGGTCGCACATGCTTGTCGGTCGCAGTCCTCGTTGTCGGTTGCCATCCTCGTTGCAGGTCACCGTACTCTCCTCCATTCGCCACCTGCATTTGTCTCCACCCTCTCCGGCTGTCCTCGTTGCCGGTCACCGTACTCTCCTTCATTCGCCACCTACATTTGTCTCCACCCTCTCCGGCAGTCCTCGGTGTCGGTTGCCATCCTCGTCGCTAGTCACCGCACTCACCGCCGTTCGCCACCTGCTTTTGTCGCCGATAACGCCAGATGTTGCAGCTCGTTGGTAGCACCGCACCATTGCATCATCTCGCTCACCCGGTTCCAACAAATTCGACCATCGGTTTCAGCAAAATAAACGTTTGGCTGCTAAGCCATCACAGCTCGCCACACTACCGGTTGTAGCTTGGCGTGATGCCGATTTGTAGCGTTTTTGCGATGCTGCTTAAATGCTGCTTGTAGCAAAAAAACAGGACAACACTATGCAATGTAGCACAACACAACGCCGGTTGCAGTCGGATGGGATGCCGGTTGTAGCATGTTGGGTGTTGCTCATAGCAGCACCGCCGTCCTCACAGCCCATGGTCACCGCGCTCGCCGTCCATGATTGCAGCTCTCCTGGGCACCAGTTGTAGCTCCTGCCATCAACATTCCAGCTCCCGTCGCTGCTGGATGGCAGTGGCGGAGCTAGCATTTGACATCAGGGTGGTCTGCCCTAATTTTTTTTTGATAACTAATATGACATGTGAACATTCTAACTAATTATCAATAGCACATGGAAATAAATTAATATGGTCTTACGAATACACTAAAATTCTCAATTAATTCTCAGTTTTGCATAAAGCCTACATAGTAAATAGTACATGGACCATAGCACATACCTTGAGAAGTTCAAAGAGACTATCTTTTTGGCCTACGTTTTTGCATTGCCATGAAGGTGTCAATTATGTCATCTTCATTCACCTCGGAGAAAGCATCCCTCTCAATGTATGTTACTAGGCAATCATCCAAAAGACTATCACCCATCTTATTTCTCAACTTGTTCTTGACAAAACTCATGGCAGAAAATGCTCTCTCAACATTTGCCGTTGCCACCGGGAGAATCAATACCAATTTTAAAAGCAAGTACACCAAATGATGAACTATATGTCTCCCTGTTTGGACAAGATTAACAGAGAGATGAACAAGATTTCCAAGGCCTTGAAAGTTCTCATCATTTCTCATGTCATCAATATAGTTATCAAGTTGTAGTTCAAGGTGTATCAAGTCGGCACTTGAAAAGTCTTTGGGATAAAAATCAGCAAGTCTTCGTACCTTGTGTGCATCAAAAGAAACAAATGAGTTAAAGAGATTATATACCAATTTTGAAAGCAATACAAAATTTAGAAGCAAGTTTGCATACCTTTTGTGCATCAAAAGCAGCAAATGAGTTGGCGGGATTCAAAGCAGACATACAAGATAGCAGCTCCATATTGATCTCATCAAACCGATTTTCAAGCTCTTGACTAATTTGATCAATGACTCCAAGAAAAACTTCTCTTCTAAAGTGATCATCATTTGTTTGGGGTCGAGCAAACTGTGTTGATCTTTCATAAGGCACATAATTATCTTCCATTATAGGAACTTGAATGCCATGCTTGTTACAAAATAGTGTGACCTTTTGCAGAAATGCATCCCATCCATTATCCCTAAGCTCTTGTATTCTACTTTTTGCAGTTTTAACAAGTGCCATTGCAGTAAGTATATCATTGATAGGATAACTAGCAATGGGTAGCCTGTCCCCGGGATCATGTTTAAGACGACTAAAATCATAAACCGATGGTGATGGCGGTGACACATCCTCAGTTTGCTCTATGGTCACATTTGACATAGACAATGTTGGTTCTTCAATTTGCTCTTCGATCACAACCGGCATACACACAACTTCGTGGGTCTGCTCTTCAGCCACATCCGACATGTTCTCTGCCTTCTTCTTCTTCCCTATCTTCATAGCTTCTCTTTGAAAAAGAGAAACAATGTCTGCTGCCCTCTTCATTCTTCAACAAATCTGTAACAATACTACTTTCTATCAGTACTGATTCCTATCACTAAAACTAATTGAGGCAGAACATAGTGCAAAAAAGCAAACCCTAAATCATAAATTAGGGGTAAATCATGGATTTGGGGTATTTGTTTTCAGTACCTCACCTCACTGCAGCCGGATTTGGAGGGGGCGAGGCCGCGATGGTAGGGCCGCCAGGCAGTCGCCCGACGAGCGGCGGCAAGGGCGCAGCCGCGCAGGCAGCCGGACTCCGGTAGGGCGGCAGCCGGCAGGGCCAAGGCAGGGGCTAGCCGCGCGCGCAGGCGCAGGGAGATGCGCCCGGAGCCCTGGATCGAGGGCCGGGCGGGGCGGCGGGTGGGCTGGAGAAGAGGCGGGAGGCGGCCGGCGGGAGCTTCCTCGGTGACGGCAGTCGGCAGGGCGCCAGGCGCGAACGGCGAGGCGAGGCGGCTATCGGGGTCGAGGCGTCGAGCGACGAG